TTTAAAATGTTACTCTGATTTTTATAAAGCATAAACAAAATCGGTCTTTTCTGGCCATGAAAATGGGGATGTCACATATCATAACTTTATAAATTAATTTAGAATTAATTTGAATTAATTTGGAATTAATGGGAATTAATTAGAATTAATCACGAATTAATTAAATGTGCAAGGACTAAATGTTAATTGTTCAATAGTTGAGCAGATAGAACATTCTGGAATTCTCAAAGAGGGTAGACGGTTTTGGGAGGCCTAGAAGGCTATTAGAATTGTTCCTTGTAGCTGATAAGGAAAAGATCTGAATCGGGATTAAATATGATTATTTAATTGATTCAAATCAATTTTATCTTCAAGTTACCTCAACTATAAATAGAACTCTAGTCTTCATTAATTTCTTTCCTTTTCCTGCATACACTTAGAGAATCCGATTTCTCAAGTATTGTCTCTTCTCCCTTTAATTTTCTAGGGCTTTAGATTTTTGGGTGTGAGTCTTTAGAGGCATTCCTACTTTGGGTGCTAGTCCTTTCAAGAGCAACGAAGAGTTCAAGATCTTCAAATGAATCACAAGTATATACGATTATACTTGAAAGATTAATAATTCTATCAATTTTGTTACTTTAAATTCGATTTTGAAAGTAGGTTGCCATAATAGTAAAACCTAGATCTAGGTGTATGTACACTTAAGGTTGTTATTAAGTGCCTCGGTTGCCTAAATTTAGTGTATAAATACATAGAAAACCCTTCATTCTAGCAGTTGTTGCTCTTGTTCTACATCTATCGTTCATTAAAAATTATGTCTTGATATTTTGTCATCAAATATAAGGTATAATTCTATAAAGTTTATGACTTAAATTATTGTTGATTTATGTTGTAAAAGAAATATATGATAATACCCACCATTAAAATCACTTCATGTTGGTGATTTGAATTACCAATATGTATTTAAGTGTAATGGGTTAACTTGTTGACCAAATATAATCTTGATAAACATTAAGCAAGTAAGAAATGTGCAGAGTGCAAACTTGTTTGAGTTTTTCAGTATTCAAAGTAGACTGTCATTTAGGGGCTAAGTGTTAGAGATTTGGGATATGAGAGTACTTGGAATTCTGATAATCATAATAACACTTTCAAATTGAAGTATTTATGTGGTACTCCCGAAATCAACAGTTGGATAAGACTCAAAAGATGAGGTTCAAGAATAGAGAATGAGTTGATATGATTTTCGTATGTATACCAAAAATGATGACCAAAAACTGTTATAAACCGCTATGTCTAAAAACTATCACAAAGTAGTTTTCTATATCCAAAAACTTTACAAACATGGGCGGGTTTAGGGGGGTCACCGGTGGCACCGGCAACCCCTAATTTTTAAAATTTTTACTTTTTCTACTATCGTGCAACCTCTAACTTTCCCGTGCACCCCCTACTGTGAAATCCTGTGTCCGCCCCTGTTTACAAACTATCACAAAACAGTTTCCAACAGTCAAATTGTTACAAAACCGAGTTTTTAATAAGAGTGTCGACAAAGTAAAAAACAACTCAACCACAACCAAGAGCTCTACTCCTTGAACCCCACCAGGGGTTGCCGCCCCTTGGCAAAAGGGAGCATGAGTGAGATGTAAGTAGTCAAAAGAATTTGTCCTTTTTAATTGGAGAGATGGTTTTGGACCCTCTTTAATAAGATTAAACAAATATGCATGATGAAGCTCAAATGTTGTGACACTTGCTCAATCCTCACTATTCATGTTCATTGGCTCTTAATTCACTATGTTTATGGAGTCCGGTATATCGTGCCACGTACTAAATTAATCACTAGCTAACCCAAAGGTCCACTACATTAAATCAATTAAGTTAATATGTGAAACTGATACATGGAATTGTGAACTTAATTGCCTGGAAAGTCTCCTAACAAATGTAAAGAATTGTACACTTATATTTTGGAGAAACTTAGAACGAATAAGCAAATTGGATTGATCTTAAACGTCCAAATAGATATTTGGTCATTTGGTGTACTAATAGATGTTTGGGTAGATCTCAAAATTGGCGGATCTAGAAAAAATATATAGTGTATATGCAACTTTTATGTTAATTAATTAGTTATTACTATCAAGGTCAAAAGTCCACAAAAACATATAATAAATTAAGCAATGTCATAATATAGTTAGCAAAAAAAATGTTGACAAAATACAATATTATTAAAAATAAAAAGGAAAAAATTAGGATTGGTAATTACAATATATTATATTTAATGAATTTAACTATCCAAAACATAAACTACAACAAAATGACTATCCCACAATTTATAATTAAATCGTAAATAACCACATGTTTATTAAATTAACAAGCTACATGAAATTAACAAATCCGGATAGAAAAAAAAAGTTAAATCATAAAATAACTGTATTATAATTTATAGATACTACGAATAATTACATTACAAACAAAAAGGAAACCGAGTAATATAATTAATGAAATCATAGAAGTTAATAAATTTAACAAAAATAAAATAATAAAGTTTTTAAAAACTATTTATTTTGAGTAGGTAAGGGATGAAGATTTTTAATATCTAGTTTATTGAGATTTGGTTTATTGTTATTTTGTGTTTAAATATTTTAATTTTGTATCTTCCAACGTTTTGTTCGTATATAAAGAATAGATGTGTATATTTAAAAACTAAAGTCTTAGAAGGCTTTGAACAATTTTAGGGATGTAAACTATAAAATTGAGGATATGTGGTATCAAAGACGGATGTATAGAAAGTTTGAGTAGTGGTGACACTCAAAAAAAATTTCCGAACAAATCTAAAATATTAGTGACACTTATATTTGAATATGTTACACCTAACTAAAAAAACAATTTTTTTTATACTAACGGCTGGAATCGGAGTAGTGGCTCGGAACCCTCGGGCTTTACATAAGTCTGCCACTGTGCAGTAGTTGTATTTAATATTGAATGAAAGTGTTGTTAAAAAGTTAACCATATCCAGAGAAAAACTAAGGGTATACAATTGGATACCCTTATTGTGCTGTAGATTGCCCATGGATCTCAAGCGTCTAAATCCTAATAGATCTCAAGCATAAAAATGTTTAGATATTTGGTTGTACTTTTAGATTTAAAATAATTTATAATAAAAATCAAATATGTTTGTGCATAATTTGAGGTTTTTTATGTGAAAAATTCTTCCACTCTCAGTGGAATAATGAGTATTGGTGTCTATCTTTTCCCTATCGCAGGATTTTTAGGGCATGTTAATATTGTTGTTTAATAATATTACACAATAACATTCTTATTTTTCTAAAGTCTGGATTTTGTTAGGAACTAACAAAAAGCTAAAATCAATAGAAAAATAAAGATTACAAATGGATAAGCCAAAAACATTAGTATTTATTAAGACTATAAATACTGAGATAAATTAATTTGAGATGGGATGGTTGTTTGATATCTCTACGTACCGTTTATCCCCCGTCCCACTTCACCCACCCTCAGGCCTCAACTTGTGCCTATAAAACCTCACCTCCCTGCCGCTATAAATAGAAACCCTACTCTCTATCTCTCCTCATCGTCAGGAGTTGTGTACTTGAATTTCCCAAACACAATAAAACAATACCACAAATGTCCATTGAGATGACCAAGTACCATACTACTACTTTGAAAAGTGTGTATTTGTGAAAGTCATCCCCAATTAAAATCTTGCCTTTCACTCAAAGGAAGAGAGAGAAAGAAGTGTGTGTACACACATCGAAACTAGATACTTTTTCATATCTTCTTCCTATTTGATCTTCATCAATCATCACGCTCATCGCTTACAAAAGAAATGGTGGCTTTTTCTCTCTTTTTTATCGTCTTTATATGCTTTTGACCAATCAGAAAACTGAAAGTTGACTACTTTTGTCAAATTCGTCACTGATCTTATATAGGGTTTCTTGATTATGTGATGCAGGAAGTGGAACAAGAACTGGATACATGGGAAGGTTATGTGAATTGGAAGAACAAACCTGCTAAAAGAGGTCAACATGGTGGGATGCTTGCTGCCTTCTTTGTGTTAGGTAAAAGTCAAAATCAGAATCAAATTCCCTTTTCACTCCATTAGTTTCTCGATCAATTTTTTACATATTTGATATGGGTTTTTGTAATCTTGAAGTGGGTCGATCATAGTTTTGATCGGTGATTGAAAGTTTTCTTGCTTTTTTTTAGTTGTGGAGGTGATGGAGAACTTGGCTTATTTAGCAAATGCAAGCAACTTGGTGTTGTACTTGACAGAACACATGCACTTTTCACCTTCAAAAGCAGCAAATAATGTCACAGATTTCATGGGAACTGCTTTTCTTCTTGCTCTTCTTGGTGGCTTCTTATCTGATGCTTTCTTCACCACTTACCACATCTACCTCATAAGTGCACTTGTTGAGTTCCTGGTAATTTTTCCTCTTCTCTCTCTCTCTCTCTCTCTAAACTAATTGATTCTCACATGAAAATTTTGATTTGATTCATGACTATAAAAATATTACAAGATACCCTTGTTCATCGGATAACTAATTAACACATATAATCATTCAGACATAACAAATAACTAATATTACCTTCATCTTTTTAATATCGTAGTTATCAAATGTCCAAGATTCTATTCGTTTACACAATTTACGCCTGCTTCACATTCTTTTCTAAATTTACAAAATTGAACCCTTTGATAACCAAAAGTACTGAATATTGGACCTACCACAATTCACGCCATGGAAAAATCAAGAAATCTTGAACATTAACTTTCTTAAATCTTGTTTGACCAAAAAACCTAAACTAAATTCAAAGATTCCAAAAAACGATAATGGAAAATTTATAGAAAATAAAATGTCAAGTGGGAAGAACATGGGTTTGCTTTGAAACTTTTACTTTGCTTTTATTTATCTATATATATAATGTATATATTGAAAATTAAAAAAAAATGAAAAAAAGAGGTTGCTTTAAAACAGCATAATTTCCACATATATGTGGCGACTTTTGGTGGATCCGACAATTAAAATAATAGCCCGCTATATTTGATAAGTGGGAACATGTGAATCAAATCTGTTGTTGGCTCATTCCCTTGATCCTACGCTATGTTAGAAAATTAGTACAAACCTTTAATGCACTTGTTACATGTGTTACTCGCCACTTTATCAATAAATGTGGATCTAGAAATCAATCAACATCTATATTATGGTCAAGTAATGTCTATATACTTAATTTTTGTGTGTAAATGTGTTGTTTTTTAATGTAAAATATCAATTAATAAAGTTTAATAATACTACTAGTAGTAATAAAATGTAGTTAATTAGTTATATAGTAAGTTAGGGTTCTTATTTGAGTAAACTAGGTTATTTTTTATGTACACTCGGTTTATTATAATGGTTTGTTCACCGGATGTGACAGTTTTTCCTGTTTTTTTAGATTATGGGGTGAGAAGCCCGCCTATGGTAATAGGCTAAGACGTCTTATTTGTCAGTGGGTCATACATCCTAATATCCTACTACTATTGGCTAGTACCGGAGCAATTACAATGCCCCGATTCAAACTTGGATAGATGGGATACCATTTACATTCCCAACCATGGTCACATTGGTACCCCACTAGTTAATTAAGTGGTTTATACTCATTTTATTATATAATATGTAAATTCAAACGTATACCATAGCTTTCTAGCATGAGAGGTTGGCCGGGGTTTGGTTTGTATGAATTTAATCTTATAATTCAAGCATAATCTTGATTTATGGACCAATATTAAAATAAAAATATATTAGTACAAAGAATGAAATAAATGTATCTTTAAAAACTTAAAGTGAATATATTTTAGAAGAAATGAATTAATCAGTTCATAACAGGCTCCCGTGCTTATCAAATCAATTGATTTGACAAACGTACGAACATTAACTGATTCGTTTTCCTTTCTAGCTAAAAACAGCAATTAATAATTCAGTTCTAGTTAATAATCAATATTTTATTGCATAAAAATAAATTATAGTATAGGAGTGTAAAGAATGTGATCATATTTTTTTTCTGATAATTAGAATAGTGCAATCATACTATAATCATTGCATTCCGTACAATAAATGTTTGTCTTTATAATTTGAACCTTCCACAATAAAAAAAGAAAAGTGTTATTATATATATCCTTTAAATAGTTATTATATATATCCTCTTATTCATATAAATAGTTAAATCATAAGGGTATAAATATTCACTCACTCACACTAGGGATGAGCATTTTGACCGGTCTGGCTCTTCGATCAGACCGGTTTACAGAATTTGATGGACCTTGGGCATGACCTGTTAGGCTTATTAGGTCTAGATCCAGTTCTGATTCTCGATTCTTGTACGTAAAAGTGAGCATTTAAATTGGATCGAACCGACCTGTTTTGCAGAAATTTGTGGACCTTGGATCAAACCTAATGAGACTTACCAGATCCATTTTCTTGTCCGGATGTCCATATGTTCACCCCTAACTCACACAAGGGGGTACACGAAGCAACTGGGGTAATTAGGCTAAAAAAATCAACATGCCAATTCAAATAGACATACTTTTTTTCAAACTAAAATAATAAAACATATGTGTTAAGGCAAAACTGACGGATAGTTAGAAGTTGATAATTGACAATTCATAGTTGATAGTTTTTATTTTGTAAAAGTGTTTGGAAAGTAGTTGTTAGATTATATATATATATATATATATATATATATATATAAACCATAAGCTAAAATATCCATACACTAAAAACTCCAAAAATTGTTTAAAATAGTTTTTGAATTATAAGTTGTTTAAAATAAAATCTAAAAACTCCTATAACATAACCAATAATAGTAATAATAATAATAATAATAATAATTCAAGTTTTTTCGTCTAAAAGTCTAAAAGTCTCACATGTATAACATCTGTTATGTAGAATACAAAATCCTAGAATACCATTTATTCCGATTTGATAATTTGACGTCAATTTTGGATACTATCAATTCTCCTTATACAAATTAGATAATACTTTTATTTCAGATCATAATTAGATGACATAGACAACTGTCATTATATAAATATAAACTCCATAATATAATTGATTTTTATAACTCTGTTGAATCTAACAAACAAAGCATATAAAAAAAAAGTCTCACACATGGAACATGATATGCTTTCTTTTCTTTATATAATTGAAATTTTTAAATCAAATAAACATTCAATACGCGTAGAACAGAAATCATTAAAAGTCGGATAATAAAATTTTAATTAGTCAAAAACATTTTTATTTTTCTCTTTTAAAAATTGGTTGATGAGTTTCCATGTCGGATTAGGATATGAGTGGGGTTGCACACACGTGTTTGGGTCCCAGTATTTATGTACCAAGACAACAGTGAATTCGATCACATTAATGTTTGTCTCTTAGTTGGATAAAGAGAGTGAAACCACATGTTGCATCTACTCTTGTGACACGTAGTACCATAAAATATTGAGTATTTATTGTATTTATTCTCCACGTATCCAAATAAATACAATAATTAGATATTACGATAGAAATGTAAGTGTTCATATATACAACATCATTATCACTACAGTACATATGTGATAATTATTATAAGTCATGGACATGATGTTACAGTTTAACAAAAAACAATTGTACACCAAAATAAAAGCTTATAAGTTTATGTACAACCAGATTTTTTTGTGGTTGTGTTTTTAAACCTTTTATAAAAAAATAAAAATAAAATAAACATAAATATTTGCAACATTAGAACAAAACTGAAGTTAAGTGATTTGAAAATGAAAATTAGACTGACCTAGGTAGAAACACTTGTCAAACTTCTTTAGGGCATAGTAACATTGATCCAAACATTGTAAACCAAATAACCCTGGTTTAGCAATTCAAAGTTTTTACAATATTGGAGTCAACAATTAAAAGTTAAGAAGTTAAATTTGTTTGAATGACTTCTTTGGTAGAACAAGTTATCAAACTTAATTACTATTCACTATCTTGAACACTTCGGTTTTGTCATATGTGTCGAAAAAAATTTGCACTCTAACAAGTATGATGATTTTTTGTTATTTTGAACAGGGTCTTGTAATACTAACAATACAAGCTCGCTCATCATGGCTACAACCACCTAAGTGCCCTTCTAACCCAACAACTCCATGCCAAGAAGTCCATGGTGGTCAAGCCGCAATGTTATTTTTAGGGCTTTATTTAGTGGCACTAGGCGTAGGTGGCATCAAAGGATCATTACCTACACATGGTGCAGAACAATTTGATGAGGACAGTGTTAATGGAAGGAAACAGAGATCAACGTTTTTCAACTACTTTGTGTTTTGTCTCGCTATTGGTGCTCTAATCGCTGTAACTTTCGTTGTTTGGATTGAAGACAACAAAGGATGGGAATGGGGCTTTGGAATCTCTATGTTGACCATTTTTTTGTCGATCCCTGTCTTTTTAGCTGGTTCAAGCTTTTATCGCAACAAGGTTCCTCGTGGAAGCCCTATAACAACTATATTCAAGGTTATTCAATCTTTTTATTTACCCAATATTCTTTTTATATTAAAAGTATTTATTATTAACAAAAAAACTCAAATGGTTGTTTATAATAACTTGTACTTTGAGTCTTTTGACTTTGTCGATTGTTGCAAAATTAACCTTAAACTATTGTAACTTTTAAATAACGATCTTGACATTTGTTGTGTTTGAACTTTGAACATCAGGTTCTAGTTGCATCGATGTTGAACACTTGCATTGTGAGGAACCCTAGCAACGCCATCGCGAGTATCTCTCCTCCGACATCAATTAACCGTGGACAACAAACGATCAACCCCACAAAGCAATCGGAAGAACCAGAAACTCCGTCGTCAAGCCTCAAGTTCCTCAACCGGGCGGCGATGAACAAACCGGCTTGCAGTTTCCTCCGATGCTCGATCCTTCAAGTTGAAGAGGTCAAAATTGTGCTCAAAGTCCTTCCGATCTTCGGTTGCACAATCATGCTCAACTGCTGCCTAGCCCAGCTCTCCACTTTCTCCGTCCAACAAGCGTCCACCATGAACACCAAGATCGGTAACCTAAAAGTTCCTCCGGCGTCCCTTCCGATTTTCCCGGTGGTGTTCATAATCTTACTAGCACCGGTTTACGATCACATCATAGTCCCATTCGCCCGAAAAAACACCAAATCGGAAATGGGGATTTCGCATTTACAACGAATTGGGGTTGGGCTACTCCTCTCAATTTTAGCCATGGCTGTAGCAGCGCTAGTTGAGATCAAACGCAAACGGATCGCCACAAAATCAGGCCTCGACACTCACGAACCACTACCGATTTCATTTTTATGGGTCGCATTTCAGTATTTGTTTCTGGGATCTGCAGACTTGTTCACGTTGGCCGGATTACTCGAGTTTTTCTTCACCGAAGCTCCGATATCTATGCGATCTTTAGCCACATCGTTGTCGTTCGCGTCGTTAGCTATGGGGTACTACTTGAGTACAGTGATAGTGTCGGTTGTGAATAGCGCCACCGGGAGCTCCGGCAACCCTGGGTGGTTGTCCGGCGACAACTTGAACCATTACAATTTGGAGAGATTTTACTGGCTGATGTGTGCGTTGAGTGCACTGAATTTCCTTCATTATTTGTTTTGGGCCCATCGTTATAAGTACAGATCTTTAGGGGTCCGTAATTGAAATATAGAAAAGTTGAAGGTGTATAGAAGAAACTTAGCCGAGCTAGTTTCAAGCTCATGACATACATTTTCAGCTTAGATTTGTATATAACTGCCAACTGAGAGTGAGAGAACTTTGAGGGGTTTCTGCGAGCATATTATAAATGTTCATTTTACACCCTTCATCTTTTCTTATCCTTTAATTATCTTTAAATATCTTTTTTTCCATAAAAAGATAAATTTCCCGTGATCGATCATACGTTCTTAATACTTTTCCTTCTCGTTTTGTTGTTATTTGTCATATGGGTATCATATAAGCTACAATGTGGATTTATAACTTCTGAAGATTATGATACGATAAGAAATCGTACACTATAAATAAACAATATTATAGTATAACGTAAACAAAGTTTTTTCAAAAAAAAAAAAAACAATATAAAATGAAAAGAAAATATAGGATTTTATATTACATCTATTAAGCCAATTTGTTTACCCAAAATATGAATTGGATTTAACAAAAACAAGTGTTTTGTACTTATTTTATAATAAATAAAATATGTCCATATATGTAAGTATGTTTAATGAGATTGAGCTTTTAACACCAAAAGGGGATGTAGCTCAGATGGTAGAGCGCTCGCTTAGCATGCGAGAGGTACGGGGATCGATACCCCGCATCTCCAAAAAACTTGAAATGTAGTTGCATAATTTGGTCTTTTTATTCGGTAATATTATTAAATTAAAAGAAACTTGCATATGTATTTGGTTCACTGTTCAGTTTGAGACTGAAATTAATGAAGTAGGTTTTAGTTTTCGACTTCATTATTTTTTCAATATTAGATTGGTTATTCCAACTATTAGATGCGCACCCCTAGGAAGTCACACAAAAATAATAATAATAATAATAATAATAATAATAAAATTATATACCACTTGTTAGCAGAACATGTAAACATCTTTATATTTTGTATTTTATGATTATATACCAAGATCTACTGTATATCTTTTTGACAATCCAACAGTATAACATCTAACACACTTGGTCTGAACCTGAGATTTTTTGGAAACACAAAGGCCATTTAATCATTTATGCAACTTTGTGTTGATTTGTATTAGTTGCAACAAAAGTGTTGTAACCATACTCTTAGCATAAGAGAATCCACAACCTTTAATAGTTTATTTATTTTGTCACATCATTAAAAGCTACTTTTATAGATTTTCTCAATTACATATGTTTTTTTCTAAACATTTAAAAGTTTATTCTCGTCTATTTAAAAAGTTTTATAAAACACCTTTCTTTAGTTTGTCGTTTGTAGACAAATAAAGTTTTTGCACATTTTTTTAACCAAAGAACATGATTTACATCTCGATCAAAAATAAATCAAGCGAAAAAAATTAGAATTGATTGAAATATTTCTTGAAAAAAATAAAAGATAAAACATATATCATGGATCAACTAAACCCTTTCATTAACTTAAAAAAAAAAAAAAAAAAAAAAAAAAAAAAAAAAAAACCCTCAAATAAGCACCCATAAAATAAGGTTTGATCTTAATAATGAGGGTCCCATAAATAGTTCATTCAAAAAATAAAAAAGAAAAATTAATATTTTGAAAAAATTAATTGTAGTTACTAATTCAAGATGAGCATGTATACAATGAAAACTTCATATTAAGGAAGCCTATGTGTGTGTTAGTTTTTATCAAAATATATACCAAATAAAAATATACAAAAATCAAATATTCTCTTACATTTTATTCCTACTTATCATCCTACTCACCTATTATTTTATAAAACACCTTTCTTTAATTTGTCATTTTAGGAAAATAAGGATTTTGCACATTTTCGTTAACCAAAGAACATGATTTACATCTCGATTTGAATTAAATCATGAGAAAAAAAGGAATTAGAATTTATTGATATATTTCTCGAAACAAATAAAAGATAAAACATAAATCATGGATCAACTAAACCTACTCATTAACTTTTTTTAAATTAAAAAGAACCTCAAATAAATACCATAAAATAAAGCTTGATCTTAACAACGAGGATCCCATAAATATTTCATTCCAAAAATAATACTAATGCATGATGAGCATGTGTGCATAAGGAAAACTTCATATTAAGAAAGCCTATGTTTGATTTAATTTTTATCAAAATATATATATCCATAAAAATATGGGGAAATCTACTCACTAAATGATCTTATAACTCACTAAATGATCTTATAGCTACAACTTTTTAATATTTGACGTGGTATAATTTTGGACTTGAAAATGCTCGTTAATTATATTCATATACTAGTTGTAAGACCCGTATAATATACGGGTTGATTAAAACAAAATGTTAAATACAAATGATTAAACGGTAAGTTTATTTGAATTTGAAATTTGAAATAAGTAAAAAATATAGAAATAAATAAATAAATAAACATTCAAAAAAATAGATTAAAATTATGTATGATTAAACGTGTTAATTATAATAAAATGTTAAATTCGAAGGTTTCAACTGTAAATCTATTTAAAAATGAAATTGAAGTTTGAAATTTCAAATTTGAAATTTGGAATTAATATAGTCATTATGGTATGTTTAAGTTATCGAAACTAAATTAATGATATATTGAAAATGAAAAATGAATTAAATGACAAATGAAAAATAAATATCTTAAAATAATAACAAAATGACATGTGGCATAATGCATTAGAGAGTGAGATGTGGCAAAATTATTTTCATTTATTAGGGAGGATTAGATTAAAGTAAAAAAAAAAATATATTAACAAAAAATACGATTAAAGGAGATAAATTGAAAATGTTATTAAGAATAAGATGACGGTATTATATGTAATATGATCTGTTTTATTATCAAAATTCTCACTTCAAAAAAAAAAAAAAAAAAAAAAAAAAAAACGTCAAAAATCCAAACACCCCCTAAATGCAACTGTGACAACAGCTTCAACTTGAATCGAACCATAAATATATCAACCATAGTTTCACAATAAGTTCCAAAACGACATTCTGCAAGTTTTCAGCTACTTCTATATTATACATCAATTTCACAAATCCTCCAAAAACCACTTTTATGTTACGAATCAGAAGTTGTGGCAATCATCCCTGAGCTCCTCACTGCAACTTTTACAGCACCCACCACACTAAGTTGCCTGATCTCCGGGCGTAGATTCTTGTTTTCATGGCTTCCACAGTTCAAATCCATCTGAACCTCCACAAAATATGCTATCTGTCACCGATTAAAGTACTGCATCTTAAGTCATACCACAATATAAAATCATAAATAACACTTAGCCCCCTTTTGCTACACTAGACCCAACAGTACATGACAGGTTGTACTACATTGGACTGGGACTAGCACTAATGTCGGTGGCACAAAACTGTAACTTCTTGTCCCACCCAAAAAGGTAAAAATATAACAGAACAGGTTATACTGCATTCGGCATGCATTGGACTAGGACTGGGACTAGAACTGTCAGCAAAAATGTGTACTGCATTTGACATGCATTGGACTGCGACTAGAATTGTCTGCAATAGTATGTGCTGCATTTGGCATGCATTGGACTGAGACTAGGATGGATGTCAGCAAATTATAAGTTTTTGTTCGACTCAGAAGGTAAGACCTAGAACATGTTATACTGCATTTGGCATGCACTTGACTGAGACTAGTGGGACAAGAACTGTAATTTCTTGTCCCACCCAAAATGATAAGAACAAATAACGTGCATTTGAAAACTATTACCTTGCCCGAGGCATTCCGTATGGGAGACATGTGCAAAAAGTTCCAAAAAGGGCTCCCGTCTTTTCTGAAAAAGATCATCAATAATCAAGAACTATAATAATTATTCGCCATAAATTAAATTATTAATAATAGACGCAAACCTGTAATTTAGGATGCATACAGTACAGGCTTTTCCTGTTTGAATGCTATTTGTAATCTGCATATGATCATAAAATAACCATTTTGGGTTTATTATTCATCAAACCCTATAAAAAGTAAATCCAAATTTTGACAAAATGGCTTTGAATTCAAAAACCTGTAAATGAGTTGAGACATCCGTTTCCTTCCCGCTTAAAAATCTGCAATTTCGCCCCAATACTTCATGTCTACCATATCCTAATAACAATAATATATCATTTAAAACTAGAAAAGGGATCGAAAATCTCACCATGGATTGATATTCTTACAAAAATTTTGACCAAAACAATGAAGGGGGTAAATTTGATTATTTTGACCTTAAATAACTCATATATTCACGTACCTGTCAATTCTAGAAAGGCGTCACTTGCGTACACGATTGGGAAATCGGATTTATGTGGATCCGTCCTACAAGGTGACAATATTTTGTGTAAAATAAGAGTTGGAAATGTTTGTAGGTGTTGGATATGTGAAATAAAATCTTAGGAAATTGAAATAACTCACAAGACAAAGCTTTGTTTTATTCTACCAAGAGATATATTTAAGGATGCCCCAACAAGGCTCATGTTACTCGGGCAGCATCTTCTATCAGAAACCAATCTGCCCGTTGACTCACTGTAATGTGTTAGCATGGAAACTATGTTGCTAATTGCAGTGTTGACTCGTCTTTTCTCCAAATCACTCACCTTGCACGCAGTGTCATGTAATTCTGATGATAAAAGTAAAAATCTGTCAAGTCATTCTTTTATAAAGTCAAAAAGTAACTTTACAGTTAAAATCTAGGCATCAAATATAGTACATAAAAGTTAAAAGTTAGGTTTTTTGTTTTTTACCTGTATCATCGGTTAAAACTTGATCCAAATTTGAAATGCGACCCAATTCGGCCACCGTATCAGAACACACCTCCCTTCTACAAAACCCAAGAACGGTATCACGAAAACCCGACCCATTTTCACACAAATTCATCTCGATTCTTGAAAATTCACTCCCGGATCTTCTTGGTTTAGGTATAATTGGGACTTGAACACCGACAAAATGGATCACTCTTCCATCTTCCTTGCTGAAAACAGGAAACATGTGGAACAAAATCCAAAAGGGTGTCCCATTTTTATGGTAATTTAACAAACTAACTTGTATACTTCTTTCTTCTCTAATGGCTTCCCTTATCTCCATTACTGATCTCCTATTGGTCCTACTCCCTTGAAACATCCTTCCATTCTTTCCAATCACCTCTT